GGGGGGGTTGTTGTGGGATTTTTTTGGCAGTTTTTTCTTTTTTGTTAGGAGGGATAGGGTAGTGGATTTCGTTTCTTGTTTGTTTGTTTATTGTTCTTGTTTCTACGAGCGAGTTCATGGACCAGTATTCATGCTCTTACGTCCGAGTTGTATATCGCTTTTGATTACACGTATATACTATTAATTTACTACTGGAGCTTTTGGTCAAAAAGCACTTTATAAGTATCACAACAGATTCAAAGTATAAACCGCTCTAAATTTACTCTGGAAAGTGAGTCAAAGCGACTAAAAGTAAATAGACCTAATACTTGTAGTTATAACGTTAGAAAGATGCAGAAGACAGATGCCCCAAAAAGGAGATGGCTACAGTACTGAGGTGGGACACTTTTGCCGTTTTTCCCAGTTCTGTGATACTGATAGTGCCACTGAACCAGCGTGCGTCAATGTAGGACGTTGCCGTGAAAGGGCGTTAGCTATTCACTGTGTGTAGAGTTTACATGCTGGTACCGAAGCATCTGTTTGTTTTCGCTTCTAATTGGACTACTAATGGCACGAGCCTGGTGGTATATAGTATTTCATAAAGACATTCTTCTTGCACTCGAAAACACCAGAGACCAATTCCTGTGTAAGGAAAATCATTTATTGAGCTTAACCGTTTTTCAACAGGGACTTCAGCTATCCCACACAGTCCTGACAGGTCGAGACAGGCAAAGTCGAAGCAGTCCGTCTTGTTGGTCGCTAAGATCTAAACTTTATGAGTGATGGTGCATGTTGTGAAGTACGCCCCGATCAAACATAATCTAAAGCATTTGGGAGGCGGGGTGCTTTAATACTGCCTGTCATGGCCAGTCTAGGCCGAGTGGGATACAACATCCCAGCAGACAGACGGAGATAATATATTATGTTAAAGAAATATAACTTCCCCATTCCGGAATCGAACTCATATCTTCTGCATGCAACGGCGACGAGCCTTACCATTACATCACAGACGCATGTAGTCATGGTGTGTGTAAAACATTAACACATACAGTTTAAAGTTTGAAATAACACCGGAATAACCCATTCTAAATTAATAGCAAAGTGTTTGAGAATACACAAACCTAATAAAGGGTCAAGGTCTCGGAGAACGATCATATCCATATCCAGATAGATCCCGCCATTCAGATACAGGACCTGTAGTCGGACCAGGTCAGAGAAGTGGTACAGAAACTGGTTCAACACACGCCGCCCTGAGATGTTCGGGGGCCTCTCTCGATACACAAATCTGAAAAGCGATAGAGCGGGTGGGTGGAGGGCTGCACGGATAGATTTTGCAGCTTTTTTTTTTCAAGGTTGTTTCTGCTTATCGGTCTTTTTTCTTTCCCAGCACTGAATGACCGTTCTTGTATCGATGGGTTTCGCTTTTCTCAAACTACGAAAGAGATTGTGTGAGTCATTGCACGCCACGGGTGTACAATACTACTTTTTCTTCCCCTAATTTTTCAACCTCAATGAACTTTGGAAAGCCCATCCATACAAAACAAATCGGCCTACAAAGAACAGTAGTATTGAAATGTGAATAGCGCATTCAATGAATCAATGTCAAAAGTGATTTATTCAAAAGGCATCGAAAAATAATTTGTGTGGGAGTGTGTGCAGGGGAGGGGAGGAGATGAATGAAGGGAGAGAGAGGGAGAGCAGAGACTTTAAGAGAGAGGGGAGAGAGAAAATGTGTGTGTGTGTGTGAGAGAGAGAGAGAGAGAGAGGGGGGGGGGAGAGGGAGAGAGACAGACAGACAGACAGACAGACAGACAGACAGACAGACAGACAGACAGACAGACAGACAGACAGACAGACAGACAGACAGACAGACAGACACAGAGAGTGTCACACACACACACATACACACACACACACACACGCACACACGCACACGCACACACACACACACACACACACACACACATACACACACACGGGTGAGGGGGAGGGGGTGTAGAGAAATAATTATCTTCATACATACGCATTGGAGAGTGGAAGAGTGTAAAGAAACAGGGTGGGGGCTAAGTTCAAATGAGAGTCACAACGTAAGAGCTAAAATCATCTGAAAAAAACAAAACAAATTAATTACATGTTTATATGGGTACAACAGTCCACAATCTGGAGATTTGACAATGAGTCGCGTTTAGCATTAAAACGGTACATTTTACATAAGAGGTATCTGCTTTTTACACCATCTGCTTTTTACACCGCTTAATAATATATATTTCGAGAAACGCTTTCGTTTCACTGACACTAGTTTCTCCCATTATCTGACGGGAGTAGGGAAGACAGCTAGGAAAAGGAACAAGCAAGACACATTTCGTTCTCAAGCCTTGATAAAAAAAATACCCAGAATTTAACGCTGACAGGAAACATGTGTAGCCACAGATGTTGTGCATAGGCAAGAATAAACAATGGTAATAAAATACAAGTTGAAACCTATACTCAGCCAGGTGAAATAACTGCACGTGTTTTAGAGCAACAGTGGCACAAAGATGCATGCAACTTAGGAAAAAACGAGAGAAAACATTTGTGCTGAGCCCAGTTCAGTATCCATCATGAAAGTCTTTACATACTTAGCCCAGAGTAGAAGGGGAAATAATTTTTCACCAAGACGCATAATATTTAATGGCGTTACATTGTAGTAACATTGGAAAAATAAGCTTCAGACGGAGACCACACAGGGATACCCCCCCCCCCTACCATTCCCTCGCTTCTCTCCTCCTACCTGACACCCTCAACATCTTTCAGTGCCTGGTTCCACCAGCTACCAAGAGGAGGTTTATCACCCACAAAGTAAATCGCCTTCGGTTTAATGAATTTCTTGGCTGCCACCGTGGTTACATAATCCAAAAACCGAAACGTGTAACCTCCAAACACGACAAAAAACACCGTTTTCGGCAAGTTTCCTTCGTACGCACAGGAGGAATTGTGTCCATCATCATAGCCCATCTGGCGTAGATACATCGCACATAAAATATCTCTCTTTGGAATGATATCCCTGCAAATATATCTGGAATACGCATCTTGAGCACTGACGTCGACTTTCAAAAGGTCACTAACGCCAGCACACGCGTTAAATCTTTGTATTGTATCGTCTGAAATTCTTATTCCGAGATCTTTTCGATCCTCATCCATTCGTGTAACAGAGGCAAGGTTGCAGTCTTCGTAGTTCAGTATAATTATTTCTAGTATGAGCATCAGACAAAACAAAGCAGAAGCAAGGAGGGCACCATATCGGCAGGAGCTGACAAAAAGCATGTGTGTCCCCCTCATCCTAAAGCAAGATGTTTTCTCTGCGCTGCTGCTTTCCAACTTATTTTAGTTAGGCTAGATTATTTCTGTGCACGTAACATGGAAGGTAGTTGAGTTGTAAGCTCTGGTGGTTTCGGATTTCAAAAATGCGTGATTTTTCAATGCATATGCTTGTTTTCGGGTCTAACTAAGGTGATGTCGCCATAAGTGAGAGGTTGTCTTTCAAAGTTATGGTGGCAGTTATGCGACGTTATAAGCCTTCAATAACCAATAAATAATAAACCGGTTTCTTTCTTGGGAGAATAGTTATTGTGCAAGACTTCTGGTCATAGTAGCGGTGCCAAGGAGAAAGAGGGCGAAGGATGGAGAGAAGGAGAAACTGAGGGGACTGAGAAAGGAAAACGAGACAGAGGACGAGGGGGAACATAATACATGTCTTCAAGTAACGTTTATCTCGCGTGAAATCATGTACAAATGTACATGTACTATATTTTCGCGTTTCGTTGGTGTGGGGTGTAGAGGACGGTATCTCAGACAGAATTACTTTGGTACGTGTTCACTCTTGCATTAGAGTGAGCTATTGTAATTGATATGGATTTACAATTCCCTAAGAAGAGATGTTGTGTTTTGTATGGGATACTGTCTTCGAGAGTTGTCTTTTTAGAAGAAGGGAAAACTTTTCATCTAGCCCGAAATTATTCCTACTATTTCTATATTCAAATGTTGAAAACCTGCTTCTTCTCCTCCGCCCCACCCGCCTCTTCCTCTTCCTCCTCTTCCTCCTCCTCCTCCTCCTCCTCATCCTCCTCCTCCTCCTCCTCTAACATCACTAGCTGCGCCGTCTCTTGTTCCTCACCTACTTCCTTTTCTACCTTCACCTTCATACTAACCCCTGTCGCCCTTTTCATAACATTCTTTTTCCACTTTTTTATTCAAATCTTCAGCAAAAACAACAGTATCAACAACAGCAGCAACAACAACAGCAGCAATAAGAGCAACAACAACAGCAATTGTGGCGTCAGTAGACACTTTTGAAAAACTTCATACTGAGGCAAATCTCACAACTACAGTACTTACTTTACTTTATCCGTCCTCTTGTACCTCTAGGGCGTCGAGGGGAGAAAGCTTCCTGTCTCTAGCAAGTTTGAAGGCCTGGCTGGGTGGAATATTGAATGTTCTCAGAGTATCCTTCACACCCTGGATCCAGGTCTTTCTTGGTCTTCCTCTTGCTTTGTACCCTGACACTTTCCTGTAGTAGGCTTTACTGGCAAGCTGGTTAGGTGCCATACGTGTGAGATGTCCAAACCACCTGATTGTTTACCTTTGGATGTAGTGGAGGACAGGTGTTGTTCCCACCATTTCTCTAATCTTGTTTTTTCTGACCATGTCCCGTCTGGTTTTGTTGACGGCTCTCCTTAGACATCTCCTCTCGCAGGTGGTTATCTTACGTTCCAGACTTTTAGTCAGGGCCCATGTCTGGCACTGGTAGGTCAAGGTGGGGATGAAGATAGAGTTAATGAGCTTGGCTTTGGTCTCAATGGGGATGTTATGATGTTTGAAGAGTGGAGCAAGCTGGTAGCTGACGTTGTTAGCCTTTACAACTATAGTAGAATAATCTAATTGTGCATGTATTGCACCTTTTTAAAAAGTCTACAGTTGACCACCTGTGCTACTTCAGCTGTTGTGATGTGATGCTGTGGGAAAGCTAAGTTTCAAAGATTTATACTGTAGAAGTTGTGCAATTTTATTTTAAATTTCTTTTTTATTTCTTCTTTTTTTTTTTGGGGGGGGGGGGGGGGCAAGATCCTTCAATTAACAGTCATTGCAATTTTCTGTGGTTTTCAAAACTGAAACACCCATTGCTATTTCCACCCGCAGTATCTTTGTCCATGGTTTGTAAAACAACCTGTAATCGTATTTCCTTCACCATTGCGAGTGATGTTAGCGTTGACCCATAAATCTTCCAGTGGTCTTTGCGCGCGTGTGTGTGTGTGTGTGTGTGTGTGTGTGTGTGTGTGTGTGTGTGTGTGTGTGTGTGTGTGTGTGTGTGTGTGTGTGTGTGAGTTGGTATTTTGTTTTGTTGTTTGTTTGTTGTTGTTCTTGTTGCTTTGGTTGGATGTTGCTGTTTTGATTCGTTTGTTCTGCTTGTTTTGTTTGTTTGTTTGTTTGTATGCTTTGGGGGACTTTTCTTTGGGTCGCCTTTGTTGTAAACACCAGTGTCTGTGGTGTACCCTACAGAAGACGTGAGAGTTCGGTTCCCTCTAGGGGTAAATCCAAAATCTCTGACTTTCATATGGATACTGTATCCTAAGGTGAACGGTTTGGTTCTGGCAGGTTAGGGTAGGAGCAGCTGGCCTCCTAACTGATCTTTATTGTGTCGAGGTGTTCTTAAAAAAAAGCAATCCTTTATAATTTATTATTGTTGTAATTAACCTTTCAAAAAAATCCATAAACTATTGTTTTAGCACGTACAACAATTTGTCTTGGTGGATCTATTTGCATATTCTGTTTACTCTAGATATATTTTATGATTGATGAAGTCTTGCTGGTTACACACGACTCGGTCTAAATCTAAATCTGAAGGTATACCAACGACTCTCTCACTCCCGGCCTGCAGTACTGCAACAACGCAGTAGTTGCCCCTTGTCGTCATGCGCGCCGTGATTGTTTCTTGTCCCGCTGTAAGAAGTTGGCCAAAGACTCATTTGTCACTGCCGCTGAATAGTCCCCAATGACGTCAACTCCGGGAATACCCTTATAGGCCTACGAAACTTGTTGACGGTTGGGGAATATTGGTCAGTCATGACATTTCCCAGTTTCTCAACGTGAAAAGCAAAAACGATATAAATACAACCCTGGTGACGTGTAATTAATCTTAATCCTATGATGTTGCATAAATTGTTGTTCATCTAAGTAATGTGTTCGTCGTGAGTGAAAAGGATGGGGATTGCCTCTGGTTTTAGAAACTATGCTTTCGTGTTTGTTGAAAACCATTAGAGTGTATCAAGGGCAATACACACCACAGACACACACACACACACACACACACACACACACACACACACACACACACACACACACACACACACACACACGTGCATAGAAAGATAGATAGATAGAAAGATAGATAGATAGATAGATAGATAGATAGATAGATAGATAGATAGATAGATAGATAGATAGATAGATAGATAGATAGACAGATAGATAGATAGATAGATATATAGATATATAGATAGATAGATAGATAGATAGATATTTTAAGCATATGTATATGTATAGACATACAAAGGGAGAGAGAAGTATGTTTGAGTCAAAGTGGAGCGCACTGACCCCGTAGGTTAGTCTGAATGAGGGGGTAGGGGGTGGAGGGGGCAGGGCGTGCATGGCACAAACATCCATATGAGAATAATTAGGAAAAAGAAGAAGAAGAATCTATTCCCTGCTCATATCACCCGCTCACATATCTGTTGAAAATCAGGACAAAACTGGAGATATTTAGATAGAAGTCAGAACGATGATGGAGTGTAAGGGGAAAACACAATAAAAATTGAGTTAGATCTAACAGAGACGTACATGTACTCTGTTACGCAAAAGATTGTTTCAATAGCAGGTTAGTAGGAAGGCGAAGGTAGAAACGGAAGTGGGTGAGAAACAAGAGACGGTGCAGCGAGTGATGTCAGAGGAGGAGGAGGAGGCGGGCATCGAACAGAGAGCAGACAATGGTTTGGAGGTACACAGGGAAACGTGCAGTCATAATAATGTTCATCTAGTGCAAACAATGTCATCAACATAAGATTAATAGCCGCATAGTAATAATATGAACAATAAGCAGGAAAGACCTCCCAACAGTACCATCACGTCACTCGCTTGAGGAAACAGATCAATAATCAGATTGGGAAGAGGAAAAGTGGTTGGGGGGGGGGGGGGGGGGGGGGGGGGGGGGGGGGGGGGGGGGAGGTTATGCACTATCAGGTCAATGTCAAAAACATCAAGCTATCATAACAACAAACCTGTGTGATGGCCTCGACAGTAATACGTCAACTCATCAAGAGCGAAAATCACGACCCAGCCCATTTCTTCAGTGCCTGCGTGTGTTTGTCGCTTATTAACGGAAGCTGACGTCAGCAGGCAAGCTGGATAAGTAAGCCATAACAATTGGTATAGACATACATAAGTCCATAACGCACAAAGGCAACAGATTCTCAGGTCCAGGTGGGATCATTCATATCCGTGACGGACAGTAGTAGTCGAGAGACATTTGTCATTTTGTCTTGTTTGGTATGCAGCATGACGGTGTGGGAGGGGCGGAGTAGGCCTACTCCCATTGTACGCACTACTACTACAACATTTACAGCAATGTTTGTAACCTTGAGGACACGTACACGGAAGTGTGTTTATGTCTCTGAATCCCTCTCTCTCTCTCTCTCTCTCTCTCTCTCTCTCTCTCTCTCTCTCTCTCTCTCTCTCTCTCTCTCTCTCTTTATTTGTTTATTTCTGTCTTTGTCTGTATGTCTGTCTCTCTTTCTCTCTCTGTCTCTCTGTCTATCTGCCTGTTTCTCTCCCTATTCATGAAGTGTGTCTCTGTTTCTATCTCTTTCTCTATTTCTGTCTCTGTCTCTGTCTCTATCGCTCTCTGTCTCTCTCAGTCTTTGTCTGTCTGTCTGTCTGTCTGTCTGTCTCTGTCTGTCTGTCTGTCTCTGTCTCTCTCTATCTCTCTCACCCC